TGGGGCTGCAGGGGGTTGTTGTGGCCAATAATGAGTAACTGTGATGCTTTGCAGTATTTTCCCATTCTTTTTCTCCTGAATCCTCCTTACCTTTGGATTTTATCTTCCTTTCATCTCCCTTGTATAGAAAACTTTTTCAACAGCCTTTGCTGGCCTATTTCTGGTCCAATTTTAAGCTTTTAAAATTCTGTTCTCCTTCCACAAGGTTTTGGAAGCGTCCTTTCAGGTATTTTATGGGCACAATCACCTGAGTCTCTGTTTGTATTTCTGAGAGTTCTTTGAGGCTGCCCTTTCAGGTCCTCCCACTCCTCTGTGGGGGTTCAGCTCACCTGTGTGTTCCTGCACACCTTTGGGATCAGCTGATCCATTTTATGGTTTCACCTGCTTTTTCTATGCTGAAGGAGTCCCAGCCCTTTATGTTCTTGACTTGCAGTCAGATCTTTAGCATCAGCTTTAAACCCTGTGTGCATTTTCTGTCCTGTGACAATGAGACTTTGAGGTATGACACACATGGCACTTGTTCAGAGTTATGGGAGAAAAGAGCTTCATATTCAAAACTTGCTTACTTCTCTGGAATTGGGTTTTCTGACAGATAGGACCTGTGTTAAACACAATTTAAAATGAGTATATCACAATTCACTGTCTTGGAATAAAACCCTGCCAAAACCCACATATGCAAATTAAAAATTCTTTTTTGATGCTTTCAATCTGTGCATTCCAGTAAAGTCTCAGGCATATTTTTGGATGACATTGAGAACCCCGTGCTATCAGTGAAAGCAGAACAGCAATCTTAGACCCTAACACAAGTTTTTAAAGCTTATATGAGCATTCTCAATAGACATTAGATGCTTTAAACTGTATTTTGCTACTTAGGTATATTATTATGTTGTCTTTCATGTGTCTTAATTATATTTCTTATTTTCTCCTTATCCGTAAAGTCAATACTGGGTCATTCTTGGTACTGCAATAAGACAGTATAAGTGGATAATTGAGTAATATGTGTGGTTTTTCCCCCTAGAATAAATACAGTTTCTTCCTGTAAATTCATGGAAGCCCTTCTAGAATTTCTAGAAAACCTTGTATGCTATAATGGCAGAAGAAAAATTAAAAACCTATTGTTTTTCTTACATATATAAGAAAACATTTGACAGACTTAGACCAATGGAGGTGCAAGTTTCCTTTTTTTCCTCCTATTAAAAGTGAGTACTTTCAAAATAGTTTTAAAGCCAAAACATAACATAGGTCAAGAAAATGTTTCCTGACAGATAGGTCATCTCCTGAAGGGCAGGTTGCATTTTAAAATCCTGAAAAGAATCCATTCTGAAACTTTGCTATTGTAAGAACCAGAGGGTTATTTACTAGAGTTTGTTCCTGTAGCAAGAACAATGTGCATTAATTTATCTGGTATTTTTATCCAATCATTTCTGTAGGACTGTAAAAAGGGAAAATTTTGGGAAAGTCTGATGATCAACTTGGTGAATCATTTGGAGAGCCTGGTTTTAGTTCTATTAGGCCAGAGCCACAAAAAGAGCAGTTTCATATTTGAATTATTGTTACAAATCTTAGATACTCCAAAGTCTTGCTCAGCTGCTGCTTGAATTGGGAGGTATCTGGTCCTTTATATTCAAATTCCTCATGTAGCTGAAATTCTGCTTCCTCTAAACCCAAAATGTACTGAGAAGGAAGTGCTGGGCTCTGCTGGCTCTCACTCCTACACTTTCTTCCTCCCTTTCAAATACCTCTGCTCCACCTGAATTTATCAATGTCAGATTGAATGAACAGAAAAGAAATAAAATGCATTAAAGGTTTTGGTTTGTTTGGGTTTTTTTGTGGTTTTTTTTTTTTTTTATTGGGTTATAGAGAATTTTTTTAGGATTTTAGAATTTATAATCATAAATTATTAATCAGCGTGGAAGCTCATCAAATTTAGGGGCTGTTTCCAAGAGCTTGATCTCAGTTCAGTTTGTTTTCTTCAGATTTTCTTCCATTCTTACAACCATTTTTCCCAGCTGTAATAAAATAAACTTTTTCAGCTGAAGGGTGAATTATGTTCTTTGCTTGTGCATAATCTATGAGGTATCTATGGGTAAACACGATTCCTTTCATCTTAATGGTAACATCTTGTATTATTTGCATGCTTTGTGATGCTATTTGTGTTGAAATGGAGATCAGTTCTGACAATACACAAACACAAAGTTAACTTTGTTGCTCAAATCAATTAATACTTTTATTTTTTACTTGGTTTTATTAAATCAGTTTTGGTTTTTTTTTCCTGAAGGGGCTTGGAAATATTCTTTTCCAAGCCTTTCCGGGTGCAGTGTGTTAGCCCAGGGTTCAAGTGCACTGTTATTTTGTTTTTCTGACACATTTCATATGCAGGGACCAGGTCTATTGGTTCTTTGGAATAATAACAATTCCTTTCTCAAAATTAGTAGCTTTTTGCTGTAGAGATATTCCACTCAGCTAATATTACGGTGCAGTTTACACATGTCCAGAGCCATAACAGGATTCTTATAACAAAGGACAAAGCACAGCTCGTGTCTTTCAAATGGCTGATTTTTTGGGGGGGTGTGCTGATTCAGCTCAAATTAAAACTTGTGTAAATATTAAATAATATAAGTTCTTGATTTTGTAGAAAATACCACAGCATAAATTATCAGTAATCCATGTGCAGAAATCAAGGCCTTTCAGTGGAAAGTCTGCTACAGAATAAAGTAAATAAATAACCCCCAGTGGAAATGCTCAACACCACCTTTATTGGCCAGTCTGCATGAAACTGGTGTCAGTCAACCTGGACCAAGGGACCACCAGGGGAAACAACATCTCTTTGCACTTTACTACAAGCTGGACTAAATTTTAACCATCTGAAAAGGAAATAAAGTCAGTCTTTGACTGTGGCTGGACCAGGCCACGTTCCTTTTGTGAGAAAGAGAAGAGGAAGTATGCTCTTAAAAGACAGAATATTTTTAATACTTAATTCTAAATGATATTGAATGAAAAATATTGATAGTGAATTCTGATGTTATATTTGCCAAAGCAGAATTGCTTGTACTAGGAAAGCACTTAACACAAACAAGTTAAAAGTGAAACCACTGGTTCAGAAAAGGAATCTAAAATCCAACAGACCAGTGAAGATGATTAATGTTGAACAGAGCAAAGCTGATTAGTGCTTCCCAAAAGTAACACTCTGCTGAAGGAGGAAATTGCAGATTTGATTTTTAAGTTGCATTTGCCACTAGTGTCAAGTAGCTTAAGGTGCTGAATTTACAAAAGGCTACTTAATTTCTTTCTTGAGTGCTATAAAAATGGTTTCTTTAGCGAGGTTCTTGTACCTCATGTGAGTCATCAGTCCAAGGGCATCCCTGCTAGTAGAGCCTCTGCTCTTGGGAGTGGGCTTTGCCTTTCACTCAGGTGAAGCTGAAATGCAAACTGCAGAGAACTTTGCCAAAAACTCCACTTATTTTCATTTTCTGCCAGGCATTTCAGTCTCATCTTTCTTCCTCTGACTTGTGGTAATTTTGTTGTTGTTCATACCCAAGTGTAATTACTCAGCTGGTTAATGAATTATGATGCTTTTGTTACCGGGAAGTCTTTGTAACTTAAAAATAGAAATACAAATTGCTTGTTAATTCCCTCTAGTGACAGGTGACAAATACACTGAAATTAAACCTTAGTCATGGGTGGAAGCGACACGTTTGCTAAGGCACTAAACTCCCTGGTACTTAGGGAAGGTGGAAAAGGGATGGCAAATGTCCACCTTCCTGAAAAATGAGAAGATTTCTCCCTTGGTCCCTCAGGGTGGGAGTCTCTGCTGTCCAGGTTGAGATCTCCTCTCTCCATGGGTTGGGATATCTCTGGATTGAGTGATTTTAGTCCAATATTTCTTTTATGCCTTCTGTCATTAAGGAGGAGAGCTATGTCAGCTTTATTTTGTGGATACTATTTAGGCAGTCTATTTAAATTTTAATTGCATATCGGGAATAAATAATTACAGATGTGTATAAAGTAATTCAGAATTAACAGTTTAGAATACATAGAGTGTATTTTTTAATACTGTTTTACTTGTGACAGAAATAATGTACTTGCAGTTCTATAAGTATGCCACTATTTCTCTGGAATATCTGGAATCTTCTTCTGTAAGCAAGATTGATGAATTTATATCAGGCCATTATTTTTACCCAGTGTTCCCTAATACACTGAAATACTTACATATACTAATACTAATATATAATACTAATATACTTAGTTCATCTCAGTAATTTTTTAACAAGTGTTCCTTACAACTGTGTTTAGTTGAGAACATTTAGAAACTGCGTTGAAAATTATTTGTTGAATCCCTTTTAATTTAATTAGGGCGAGGAGGGGTTAATGTTAATTTAATGCCATTGCTTTGCATTAATTAATGTCTTTCATTGTATAATCCTTCTTGCTCCTTTCAGTAAGTCATCCTTATTTCTGCAGATGCTTCATGGCTCACGTGGAGCCATCAACCCTTCTATCAGACAGCAGAATTGGTGCTTTCTTTTTCCATTGGTTTAGTTTGGGTTGTTCAGCAGAAAAGTTAAAAGAGCTAAAATGTCTGTTGATTTCCTCCTCTTTTCCACAGACATCTCTATTTGTGCTTTCTCTCCATCCTGCCATATTTCATTAGTACTTGGAAAAAGGGGTTCCATTCCTTAACCTTGTTGTCATTTCCCAGCAAGTTTTCCTTGTGATGAACCCGCCCTTCCCTGAACTGACCCTCAGCATTGTCTTTGCAGGGTGTGGTACTGCAACAGGAGGAGCTGAAGATGAAGGTGAGGCTGAAGCTGGCTGGATTGAAGGTGCTGCCATCCTCCTCTCCGTTATCTGTGTTGTCCTTGTCACTGCCTTCAACGACTGGAGCAAGGAGAAGCAGTTCCGTGGGCTCCAGAGTCGTATCGAGCAGGAACAGAAGTTTACTGTTGTCCGAGGTGGACAGGTTATCCAAATCCCAGTGGCAGAGATAGTAGTTGGGGACATTGCACAGGTGAAATATGGTAAGTTCTATCAACTGACTGTCTGCCTTTATGGGCTTTATATCTCCTCCTTTCACTTTCCAGCAGGACAGACACACTTCACGGGAAGTGATTTAAAAGGCAGGGTTATGGGATGTCAACATTTGCATGGCAAGGTAACATTTGGCTGTTAGGGTGAAAGGAGAACCTGATATACCTGCTGTAAAATTGGAGTAGGAAACCAATTTTGTTGTTGTAATCTTCACTTTTTACTGGCCAGGACGAGAACTGGTAGTTCTCTTTCATGAAGGATTTTACACTGTTTGAAATTTTTGGGTTTTATTCAGTTAGGAATAAGAGGAAGTTTTTTGAAATGCTCTGTAAAAAGGGAATTGAGCCTCTGTGCTCACCTCACTTAATAAGCTGCTCCAGATCCAGATGGATCCTGTAAGTTCCCCCAGATCAGATGCCTGATAATTACATGTCATAGGGAATGCCCTGTGCTCCAGGGAAGTGGAAGACTCTTGCAGGAACTCTGTGTACTCTGTGTTTGTGTGACATGGTATTTTCCAGCAAAATGCCAGTTCTGTCAGCCATCAGGTTTCTCCTTGACTTATTTAAGGGCTTCCTGAGAGGGGAAAGGGAAAGGGCAGCTTGACTGTTTATTAGCCACTGTTAATTCCTATGAAGTCTGACAGAGAAACCTTGTCATGAAGAGCACTGCTCCTGCCAAACCTCAGTGATTAGGATGTTCATCCTAGGCTAAATATGAGGCATCCTGATTCTCAGATAGAACTAAGCAAAAAATACTTGAAATACAAACGTTCTTCCCTACAGCATTGCAATACTGTGGCTAATATGGACAGAAACAGTAACAATTCCTTCACTTTTGCTTTAATTTTAATTCAGTTGTTGTTAATCGCGCTTTCATAATTAAAATACTTACGTAATTATAAAAACAATCTTACTAATGCACAGTGGTTTTCCATTACCATGCTCTTACCCAAAGGTGATCTCCTACCTGCTGATGGGATATTTATTCAAGGAAATGATCTTAAAATCGATGAAAGCTCCTTGACTGGAGAGTCAGACCAGGTCCGCAAATCTGTTGACAAAGACCCAATGCTGCTGTCAGGTAAATCACTGCTGAGTTATCTTGTGTGCTCTGCTTTGTCCATGTTTTGTTTTGTCTTCATTTTCCCTGCCACGAGGTTTCGGTAACCCAGACACAACGGATGTTTTGCTCACAGACTTGTCTGTTTGTCATTTAAATGATGTTGTTGTTTCTTGATGGAGGGCAATTATTTCTGATCACGGTACTTGTAAAGGCAGAGAGTAACAAAACTTTTTTCAGAGGAAAAGGAAAGTATCAAGTAGGGAAATAAAAAGTGTTTTAATTCATTTTGTGTCGGTTTTAATTTAACCATTGAATTTCAAAGCCTTTAAACACTTCTTGTGTATAGTAGGTAAAATAGAAAAAGATACAATGCGTTTGGAAGCAACTGGATATACTAAACCATTTTGAGCTTCACTCCTGTGATAAATTCTAGTTATTTTTAATGTTTGTATTTTGAAATATAATTCTATACAGTAGATCAGTGAAACAATGTAGTTTTTTAGTACTAATAGGTCATAATGAACTCCAGCTGGGATGTGATCACAAAATAACAACCTGCAGATATGTAACAATCATCAATGTGTTATAAACTGAAAAAGTCCTTTTCAAATACTCCAGTTTCTTTGCTATAAGGAGAGAAATTTGTTATTATGTGTTTAATGCAGAGTTAAATTTTTTACCCTTTATTTTTCTTATGTGATTACAGAGGAGGTGTAGAATTAATGTGATATTTTACTTAACACTGCACACACTTTTGTTCCATACTTACCCTAATAAATTTTGAGTCCTGCCATGTTAGAAAATCCCTGGACTCTTATTTGCTTAGGAAAAGAATTGATGACTTGTGATTCTATCATGGAAGAAATTACCTTCTTCCATAGACACAGTGCAGGATTTAATCCCAGTGCTGATGCACTGGATATTGTTACTCATCCAAAACCTTGGAAACCACCATGTCTTTTAGGGTGGGTTTGACCTGGTTTAAAAATTGATTTCCTATGTAATGCTGATCTAGACCTGTATTTTTATAAAACTTGTTTAAAGAAAAATCCCCAAACCAACCCCCTGCAAAAGCATCAAAGACACCTTATATCAAAGCACCTGAAGACATCAATAAGTTATCTGCGGGCAGACTTTTGGAATTAAGACAAATATTGTCAGGATGTTACTTGCCATTTTCCTCCCTATAATCGTGTCCTGGAAATGAAAACAGTTGAGGTTTGACAGGAAACACTTGAATTACAGCCACAATTTGTTTTGTGAGTCTAAATTTAGTGGAAGACAACCACCCAGAATTGGGAAGTATTATTTTCACCATTGGCACCTGAAAGAGTGTTTTTAATATTCAATCAGCTTCAATGACATAATTAAACTAAATGAGTTTCTGTGCTTAATGTCCTGTTTAATCATTCAGATGGTTGTTTGCTGTACTTGGGAGGCAATTCTAAGAGTCCAAGTGCTGCCTAAACCAGATGGTTCATTTCCATCTGTCCGTGGCACACGGGGCACCACCCAGGAGGGCAGAAACGCCAAAAAAGGCCCTGAGGTACCTGGAACCAAAAGAAGCAGCTTCTCTTCTATAGTTCCACTGCACTTCTGGCTGGAATATTTCCCTTCTTTTAGTTCATTAGCAGGGGTTTGCATGCAGGGTGCAGCACAAGCCACTGTGTAACATCTTTAGCTTAAACGAGACTGTGGTAATGTTCCTTCTCCACGGTGAGTGTGGACATGTATCAACCAAGAGGTGAAGGCAGCTTGGGAACCAAACTGCTGCTCATCTTGAGCCTGATGTGGCCTTTAAATTTGGTACAGTTCAAAGCTGGCAGAAATCCACGAGTCCTAAATAAAGAAGTTTTCAGTGGGAGTCTCAGTATTGCACCCACTGCAGTATTCTGGGGTACCACTTATTCTATTAATTAACATTAAAAATACCTTAGGAGGCTTACTTCTTACACCTTTTTCTCGCAGTTATTTAGATTAATTTGATGAAGGTATGAAGGAGGTGGATAAAGGAGCTCACCTAGTGTAGTTCTACTCAACTGAGGCTGGCAGAACATTACTTCACCCTGACTGAACTTTTAGCACTGTCTGGTTCCATCAACGTGCAACAAGGATTTGAAAGAAAGGAAACAGAGCTTAATCAAGAACAAACAAACCAAAGATATCTCTTGGTCGTGGTGCTTTGTTAGGTCTTGGAAATAAAAAGGAAGCTTAATTAAGGAATTGGGCCAGATATTGCCTGGAACAAAATAGTTCTGATTCAGTCTTAATTCCCTACCAGAAAACCCAGAAAATATTCCAAGCAGAATTTCAGAACCAAGCACCTAACTTAAAAAGTTATGAATTATTTGGATATATTAAGTTATTTGTAGATGAGAATTTTTTTTTTTTCTGGAAAACTCCTTGTTTTCATAGAGGATATTGTGATGGTTGGTTCACTTTATTATTAACTTCAGTTGCCACTTACTAATTGCAGTGACTGAACCAGTTCTTTAGATGCCCATAGAGAATTTTTGTTCCCCAAAAGTTTGCTGGAAGTAGCAGAACAGTATCAAGCTCACAAACTGGCATGTTCTGCTTTGCTTTTCTTGGTTTTTTCCAGCCCTCTTTCCAATCTATTACACCAGTACTATTATTAGATTTGGGAATTTCTGAGTCTTATGTTTAGTTGGATTTTTGTCCGAAAAATATTTGCTGCAATAGGTTCCTGATCCATCTGATCTGTTTCTCTCCTCCCTGGCTAAACTAATCATCTTTTTCCATCTTGGAATGTTCACCACTTATCAACTTTGAATTAAGTACTCTGCATGTTAAAGAATGTATTTTACTACCATGGAGTCTTGAGAGGGAAAGAAGTCAGTGGAATAGGTCAACAAGAAGTTGAAATACAAGCTTATTGTACAGATAAGGGAAAAACATGCAGCCACTCCAGAGTTCCATTTGTATAACAATAGCTGACTGAAGTCACCCAGCCTAATTGTGCATCCAAATTAATGTCATTATAATGCCATTTAAGTGGTGAAATTGCCAGTCAGGTGGAAGGAGGTTCAGCTCTTTGCTTCAGCTCAGGTGGTGAAGAATTTTTCAATAGTACTCGTGGAACATAATCTGGTGATAAATTAATACCTGCTCTCAAACAAGCTTCTCTGTGCACCTCGGCACTTTTGCAAACCTGAACATTAAGGAAAGGTTCAGAAAGGCATTTCTGTTGAGGCATTTTTGCCTTCTCCAGGTGTGCATAGGTAATGCACATTTGAAATGTGGGTGCGTGTTTTCCTAATAAAGCTGGTTTTATAGCATGTGTTATATGCTGAGATAACAAAGAATATGGTTCCAAAATGGGAAATAAAAGACAGAAAAGACACCATTATTTTAAAAAAGGTAAAGAGTCGAGTTTTTTAGGGGTAACACAAGGTAGACACAGCAACTGAATTATATCAGAGGATATCCATCAGGGGTGTGTGTGACATTTTTGGAGGATATTTCTGCCCACCTTTTCAGTCCAATACAGAAGAATATTCCTTAGAACAAAACAGAGCAATACAACCAGCAAGCTCTTAATTAAAATGTATTTTAAATAGTGGCACATCCTAAGGGAGGTTCCTCTGAATTTCTGAGTGAAGTTTCAGAGATTTTCTGTTTTGACTGAACCGGTACAACCAAGGCTGGGCTGGATTTTAAAGATCTTTTCTGTTCCTTTAGGCTTGAATTGAGCTTGGTTTATGGTTTTTTTGTGTGGCCCTGCTAATTTGTATGTTTATTATGTTTTGCTGAAAACAAAAGGCTTCTTAAGGAATCAAATTTTATCTCAGAAAGTCATGGGAACAGTTCTCAATGCACTGAAGAGATCTGATGCTTTTGTTGTTGTTGTTTTGTTTAAATACATCTGGCCATTAGTGCATTTTTGTTTTTATTTGGCTTATTACTGCTGAAATTTTCTTAGTGTTCTGATGAGATATTTGTGCTCTCAAATTAGGCTCAGTGTTGACAGATGTTCTCTCTAATCTGTGTTTCTGTTTTCCTTTTAAGAACATGGGAGATTTTGATTATTTAGAGAAAGATATTTTGATTATAAATAGATAGTTGCATTGCTTACTATGTTCTAGCACAGCAACTTATTGACCACTACTAAAAAAATGGAATTTTAAAAAAAAGTGTGTTGCAAGTGTGTGTGTATACTTATGTAAAACGTTGATCTGTTTAAGGACACATCCATATATCCTTCCCTTTTTCAGCTTTTGAGATAAATCAATAAATTTGTACAGATGAGAATGAACTCAATGGTTTTTTTAAAAAAAAAGGGAGAGAAAAAAGGTCTTTCTATGGCTTTAGTAGATCTGAATGCCTGAAGGGATTCTAAATGAGAAATTAATTGTATTCTTTTGAGTGAGGTGAGGATCTAAGGAGCAATAAGTTAAAACCAAACAAGCAGTACCTGATTTTCTTCTCAAGGCTTATGGTTTGTGTGTTACACTCTATTTTTTTAGTTTCCAAACTATTTCTTCAAATAGAGGAAAGAGTATTTAAAAAAATGCCCAAACCCAGTAAACATCCACTCCTAGTTTACTCTGAAAATTATTGCTTTTTCTCTGTGCTCTCACAAATGCCTTGCACTGAACAGACATAACATAATTTTCTACTAATAAAGAATAAAATATAAAGTCTATTTCAATTAATAGCTTCATCTATCAGAAGTTTCTGGTCATTATATATATTTTTTTTACCTGTTTCATAGGAGCACTACAGATCAGCTTTATATCTTTTAAAATTCACTGCCTGCTAAGGACACGTCCCTTCAAATATTCAAATATTACTTCAATAATGACTTTTCTGTCACTTTTTGATGCCATCCTTGGTGTATTCATACCTGTGACACAGTGACAGGGTTTTTTTACCGAGCTTTCAGTAACTGGCCTTAAATACATGTGATAACAACAAGTTGTTCCATTTCACAATTTATTTATTTTTTTTCAGAAATAGTCAGTGTTCAATTGCATTGACTGACCTTTTGCAAATCTCTGTTATAAAATTTTTCCAAAGTGTAAATCCAAATTTTTTGGATCAGAAATTTCTGTTTTGGTGTGTTTCCACAACCCATAGCTAAAGGTTTCTAAGAGGTTTTCCTTATCTTAGATGCTTTTAACATTTGAGTCAATATACCAATAAAAGCTATAAATAATTTATATAAAATAAAGCAAAAAATATTACTCATAAGGAATTTACTTAACATTACCTAGTTAAACAGAAAAACTCAATGTCCCTGTCAATTTGATTTAGACCAATAGAAATCTCTCATACTGAATTTGTTTTCAGTATTCTTCTTGCTATTTGGGAATCTCCTGATTTAATTCAATATCTCCTTAAATATTTTTTGCTGTGTTGATTTCTCAAGTTTAAAGCCGTAAAATTGTCTTCAACACTATTTTTTCCTGTGCCTGGAAGTCAACCATAACTGAGAAAGATGAGAGAAATTGCACATATTTTTTTTTGTTCATGTAATTGTACAGTCACTGTAATCTTGACTGGAGTCCCTGAGGGACATTTGCAGAACTCTGGAAAAAGATTTCCAAAGTTAACAAGAATTAGCTGTGTGAAGCTAAACTATTATGTTCCAGGAGGAAAACTTGATTACTGACATTTCTTTTAAAAAGGGAATCTGATGTGTTTGGTTCATGGATGTGAGGCCTAAAGCTCACTAATTCTTGCTTGAGAGTAATATACAACAGAGGTTGTTTTAGTTATGTAGTTATAATTCCCTCAGGATAGATTTTTAAAGTGTAACAAATAACTCTTGGTACTGTAATAGATGTCTTGCCTAATTTTATTTTCTTGGAGTTGTATGTAACTTATAATGTATGTTTTCAGGTACCCATGTCATGGAAGGTTCTGGAAGAATGCTGGTAACTGCTGTGGGGGTGAATTCTCAAACTGGCATCATCTTCACTCTGCTGGGTGCTGGAGGGGAAGAGGAGGAAAAGAAAGACAAGAAAGGTAAATTCCACGACACATAAGGATGCTCCTAAGAAAGCTCTTGGCCTTTGTGCAGCCAGAGCTCTCCTCCGTTCTTGACAAATAACTATGATTTTTAAAACTTCCTTTCTTTTCTTTTTTTTCTTTTTGGACACGTTTTTACCATCACATGTCACACAGAAAAACGGCAGAAGCTGTTAACCAATAAATACATTGGATAACAAGATGTTTTTCCAGTGTGAAATTGCAAACTCCCAGGACATAATTAAATCCAGGGGGATCCATGGGCATGCTCCCTTTGCCGTGGCTTCTCTACATGAATCCATGCTCACCTGCAGTTTGCTAGGGTTTGGCTCTTGTGCATTTATATCTATGTAACTTTTTTTTTTTTCAGGAAAAAAACACAAACCCTCTTGGCCATGGAAATAGCTGCTTAGAGCTTCAAAAATAAAATAAAGATAAGATGTGGTTTTTTGCTAGCCCAGCTGTTTAATGTCAGTGACTGACTTTAGAGGCATTTTAATTTCTTAAGGTGTAAAGGTCAAGCTAAGAATAGTAAAAGACCAGAATGTAGCAGTAAGTGTTAGCAGACAGTTTAACTTTCATCAGTTAATGAAATCAAGGAGCCTCTTTAGACTTTTCACCTTATTATAGTGTGATGTCATAATCTACTGCTAATTTATGGATTGCACACTAAATAGAAATATGATTTAATGTCTGTCCTTTCCGGTTTTTGTTCACAGTTGTGTAAATTGTTCTGCTTTCAGAATTTCATTCCAAGTCCGTCCTGAGAATATTTGCCTTTCAGACAGAATTAAGGGCCAATGAATATGGGGAATTTAGATATTTCTGCTCTTTCTAGTGGGTCTCCCTATTAATAGAAAGAAGCAGTCATAGCTTTTCTGAACATTCTACTTGGTATTAGTAGAATAGGATATATAGATAGGAGAGTAGATAGGAATATAGATAGGAAAGCCAAATTCATATGGTTTTCATGGCCTATAGCTTCCATTTCTGAATATATTCAACAAGGGGTTGCCATTGGCTCCCCGTTGCTCTGAGGAAATCCCTTTTTACTTAACCAAAGACTCTGTGAAATGTTTACCATTTCATTTCTGCACAGAAATGCCCAACTCCTGCAAGACACGGGGAGTTCTAGGAAAATTAAAGAGAGAGAGACTGAAAGTAAAAGTCTTTCAAGTCAGGCTAGTTTTGAACAGTATCTTGGAGTTTGTTCTTGCTGTAGGAGAAAGGCTTCCATACCCTTTGAGATCTGGCAGCATCTGCTCTGGTGGTGCCTGGGGATACTGTAGGTGAGAAGGAGCAGCTTCAGTCCCTGTCTGATGAGGGCAACTGAGCTCCTTGGTTTAACTGGGCTGGACTCTGGATGTTACTTTGCTCAGGACACTGGTGGTTCCCTCAGGTTTTATTGGGGATAGCCTGGAAAAACAGGGAAAAAGAAATCAGGGGTGGCAGAGTAACACAGTATAGTCATAACTCACAACCCAGGGACAGAGATTTTTACAGAGACATGTTGGAACTTTGGATGCAGACACTGAATCTAATATAGAAAATACATAATACAGAAAATTCCTCCACGTTTTCTGGTGCTGCTGGCAGCTTGGTGCTCGTGCAGAGCTGGTTGTGTATGGAGACCCAAACTCAAATAACACAAACCTACAATTCTCTGAAACCCTGCCAGTCCTAAATGCTTGTTTTACTCTGTGTGGGGTGTGTGCTTTTATTGTTCATTAACATTGTGTAAAAATCATCATTCAGGTGGGAAACAGGAGGACGGACAGCAGCTGCCAGGTAGAGTAAAGAACTGTACCATATCAAACAGAAGGCTGAGGCTTTTAGCCAGTGAGCTTTGGTGCAAATCAGGGGTGAACTGCTGATTGAAATAATTGTCTTCGAATCAGTCAAGTTTAAAATTAAAGAGTGATTTCGAATCAACAGGATTGTCGGTGGCAAATCATTTTAGTATGCACGCATCGCTGGTGTTGCAAATCTTAATGCTGAGTCTGAATAATCAGCCATTCTCCAGAAGTAAATTACAAAGTATTAAATGTTGGAGTCCATGATTTGCTGTGAGCAGTTCATGCTGTGCTGGTTAGTGTGGGCAATCAAATGGAATGAAAAACAAGCCCAAGCAACAGGACCAGTTGAAGTCAGTTGGCATCACAGTAATCAAATTTGCAATTGAAATGCTCATGAATGCACTTACCCAGGGTGTGTTTTTAAATCCTCTCTGCTGTTTATTTTCTCCTCCCAATTTGTCCTTTGTAAATAAAATCAGACCATTTTTCTGGAATAACAATCCAGTACAGTGTCAAACAGTCCCTGTGGGGCAAGTGCTGAAGAAGTTTGAGGGTCTCAGTCAGGGTTCATTGTAGGACTTGTGTTCTATTGTGAGCAATTTACCAACAGAAACAAAACAAAATTAGTTTTATCTGTTATTTGTAGAGACTAATTTTCCCAACTCTGGTATAAAAAACATAATAAAATGATGAAATATTCCTCTAGTTTTACACTTTCCTGTTAGGAAATATTTCTTGACCAATTCCTCTAATATGTGGATAATTACAGAAAACAAAAAGTGTTTGTTTTCTAATACTTTTTTCGTTTCACCACAAACCAGGAAATATGTGACATCCATTCTTTGCATTTAAAACAACTCATTATTCTCCTCAGGGCTATATTTGCCATTTCCATATAAAAGACAAGAAAATTTAACGTTTCTACTCAGATCAATGTGCATATTAACCAGGTGATGGCAGGTCATAGACTGAGCACATGTTAGACTGGAATGTATGTCATGATACATCATAGTGTGCAACATTATATAAAACACAAAATATGTAATGTTAAGTACTGTGTAGTAGTATGTACACATATATAGACACAATGAATATTTTAAATGGCTATTTTAAAGCTACCCATGTATTGTGTAAATTAATTAACTCAAAAGGAAACATTTCAACCATTTTAGTGTTTGCATAACATTGTGCTAAAATACAAAAAATAACACATAAAAGGACTAAAGCAACTACACAACTACACTACTGTGTAGTCAGTTATCATCAACTTTTACTTTGTTAAGTGTTTCTTATTTATTTATTATTATTGTTATTGTTATTGTTATTATTTCATGTCTGAGTTTTTACCTTACTTTGTAACACCTTTACAATGCTATTTTGCTTTTGAAATTTATGTTAATTTAATTTAAAGCTGTTTGATTTAGGAGAAAAAAAAATGCCGTGGATGTTTTTTTTTTTGTTCCGCTTGAACGTTTGGTCATGTTGTTGTTATTATTTATTATTTATTGTTGTGTTGTTTTTTGTTGTTTTGTTTTTTTTTTATCCATTATTGCTCAGTAGATTCTTCCCATCCCTCCTCCCACCCTCCTTCAGCCACAGATGGTGCAGCAGGTGCAAATGCCACTGATAATGCAAATGCCAGCTTAGTCAATGGTACGTCACTACCCCCGGCGTGTCTGATTTGAGAGATTTCTCTCCTGACTGTGTCACATTCCCCCTTCCCTCACAGCCTGAACAGATGTTGTGTGTGCCTCTGATTCCCCTCTGAGAGATCCTGCTCCCTAAATTCTGCAGCAGCTTATCAGAGATGCCACAGAGATGCCCCAACTTGATTCCCACCAGATCAAGTGTGGCAGAGGAAGAAGTAGGAGTTGTGGTCTATTTGCCATTAATTAAAACTGCAATAAAAGGTGCAGTTATGCAAGACTGGCTTCAAAACTTTTGAGTAGATTCACGTGAATTTTCATTGTGAATTTTCATTTACTCGTTTCTCAGCATAGATCTGAAGAGGAAGATTGTGATAAACGCATTATATCCGCTTTTCCTCTGGTGTGGCACTCTCACAAGTAATCATATAGTCTCCAAGTAGCTCTGAGGAACAGTGCTGGGATCAGGAATCTGGCTAAATTCCAACTAACACTGTATTAGGAACAACTTTCGCTGCTTTGAGCATCTGTTCCACAAGCAGCTGAGAAGTTTTGTGGATGTTTGGGTATGCCCTCAGTGATATCCTACTAAGCCTGTCTGTATTTACTTAAACCAAACTAAAATATTACTGTAGTCCATTTTGGCTGTCTCTCAGTACAGGTTCTTCACCCCACTTCGCATGCAGATATTTCAGTATCTCCTAATAGTCTAATTCCGCTATTAAATTGAATTTAATGGGTCAATATTAGTCTAGGCATCAGCTGTATTTTTCTGCTAATCAGATACATGAGTCTTTATTTGCCATAGAAACCTTTCCCTCTTGTGCAGAGCCAAAAATACTGACAAAAGTAACTCTACTTTTCATCATGTTTGTGATGGAATTTTTTTTTCCATGCAGGTCAGCAGTCATTGCTTAATGCACATAAATGAGAGTTTTTAACAGAAATACCAACTGCTAAACAAGGACTAAGATGTACTAGTGCAGTGTCTTATTTAAAGCAATTACACAGGAAACATTTGAACCTATTTTGAAATATTTTTGTTATAATTTAAAAGAAACATGTAACCAGATTTAAAACTCTACTCCTGCACAATGTGGAAAATTAGGATTTACTTCCTACATCTCATTGCATGACAGAAATCTCCATCATCCTGGTTCCAGATTCCTCAGGGTCCAAGAACCGGGAAATTAATGATGAGTGTTTCATTCTTCATTGATGTGAGGGTGGGGAGGCCCTGGCACAGGTTGCCCAGAGAAGCTGTGGCTGCCCCATCCCTGGAAGTGTCCAAGGCCAGGTTGGACGGGGCTTGGAGCAACCTGGGCTAGTGGAAGGTGTCCCTGCCCATGGCAGGGGGTGGAACTGGATGGGCTTTAAGGTCCCTTGGAACCCAAACCATTCTGTTATTCTATGAATGGTTTTAGGATAATTTTACTTATGAGTGTAGAACAAACATACACATACAGAGTCTTCCCTCCCTCATTCCCATTGGATCCTGCTGTGTTTCTGCTCAGTCCTGCAGAGCACTGAGTGAGGCCCCTTGAGGAGAGCCAGTGCTCAGGAGGTACAGGATGAACCCTGTTCAAACCCAGCTTTCAGCAAGCTGGAGTTGCCTGGTAAATACCTGTTGTGTTTGGTCTTAATGCCTTGAACCTAATAAGGAAATTGAGTTCCAAGGGATATTAAATCAGTGTCTGAAGTATGTGATTTCCTATCCTCTCTCCCATCAGAAACAATGGTTACTGTCCCTGTTTATCCTGGAGTTGAGAGATGCATCCTCACTGCTTTTCAGTGCACAAAGGGTAGAAGGCAATTTTTTTGTGCAGCTGATTTGGTTTGGCTTGTGAGATGAGGCAGTTCAATTAATTCTGCACATCTTTAATCAACATGGTTGAGGTGTGATGAAACTCATCCACAAATCCAAAAAAGCCAGACCCATATCAGCTACTGTACCATTTTACCTAAAGTCTAATGCCTTTGTGCAGAAAATACCATCAAATAAGAAAAGCAAAATTATATACTTGAATAAGTATCCAGCTCAGGAAATGTTTGTTACTTGAAAATCAACCCATTACCATTGCAGATAAAATATTTTTATTCTTAGTTGTCAATAGACAATTGACACAAAAAAAGTGTTTTGTTTTCAATCAGTGAGCCTATAGTGATAAATTCATATAGTTTGTGACACAGCCCATGTATTGAAGGAACTGTTATAAATTCTGTTTTGTTCTAGGAGTTGAGATCAAAATATATCAAAATTTTTGTTGGTCTCTTTGTTAAAACTATGGTAAAACTATGAACAATATGTTCAGTTTTTAAAGGGTTACAAGTTTAGGTTATAAGCAGAGCAGAAAATTTTGCAGAAAGGTAGTAATACAGGAAAAGTCACCTAATTTTAGAATATTATATTTAGTAAATGTAATTTTAAAAAATGAAAATCTGGGAAGCAGCAATGATTGTTTACAGCTTGTTTATCCCAAATTTGATTTCCTTCCAGTAGAGCAAATTGCCCCAAATTTGTTTTCCTTCCAGTCGAGCACAGCCACCTTCCTAAATCAGGATTTCCGTGGTGGGTTGTTTGGGTTTTTTTGGTATTTGTATGTCAAAGAATTTTCTACCTTAAATATGTATTCAGAAAACATAGAAACGGTATAGAAATACCATGCCATACACAGAGAAATGTCTCAGCTGAAATATTTTGTGTCTCCTGTAAATTCCTGTGTATGTACTGAACTACTGTTCAGTTCCTGCAAAGCAATTTGCAGTTCTCATGTATTTTAGAATATTTCCTGAAACTTTAAGTGAAGTTATTTAGTGAGTGCAGAGAAGAATTAGCTAACATTTTCTATTTGAAAGAGTGGAATTAGACTTATTCTTCTGTAATGAACCTCTGTTTTACCAATACTTTGGCTCTGCCCTCCCACTGCGTGGAAAAATTCCTGATGATCCACGTCAGACTCGTTTGATGTCCCTTTGCCCCCCTATCTATATTTGCAGCATGTGCCTGTTTTTCCTTGCTGCAGAGTATAACTGGCTTGGCACAGCGAGGGCTCTAACTCATTTTCTTGCAAGATGAGACATTTTGGAAAATCACGGTAGTATTTTATATTTTTTTGTTCCATCACAGCACGAGAACGTAACTCCATTCTTTTCTTTGGTTTATTCTGAGCAGTTCTCCCAAGTTACAAACAATTTCTGGTGCCAGCAACAGGTCTTTGTTATTTTGTCCCATTGGCTCTTCATAAAGAGCTGAGGTAGGTAAAGGGGAGTCTTTTCTTTGGAAGTAAAAACTTAGGCAGTAATGATGCCCTGAGTTCTTTCCAAAAGCCAGAAATTGCAGTAAGGCAAAGACAACGTGCATAACATTTCATATTCAAACTCAAAACCTTCAAAGCAACTGCAGAATACGTGTTATATTAGGAGGCTCTGAATTCCGTTCCAAATTTTCTGATTTTTCATCCTTGCTTAGAAAAGTGATAAAAATAAACTCAGATTTCTCCAGCCCAAACACTGCTCATTTTACTTATTATTCAAAAGCAAAAGGAGGAAAGATTTGCAGAATTATGTAAAAATATATTCTATTTTTGAAGATGTTTTCCACATAATATTATTAAAATATTAATAAATACTAAATATTTTAAATGTTTCTAAACCACACCCAAAAAGGGGGAGCATTTCTGGTCCTGGCACTGCCTGAAAGGAGAAAGGATCTCTCAGCAGTAGTGATTCTATCACCTCTATTTCTGTCTTAATTTCTCCCTTTGTTCATAATTTATAGCAAAGTGTAGCCTTAAAATTCTTTGGAACAGAAGGAAATAAATGCTTTACAGCATTCTTTTCTTTATCATAACTACCCAAATGGCCTATTCTTTGTTATTCTGTCCAAATAATTGAACTATAATTCTCTGTGGTGACTTTCCCCTCCATCCCTCAATAACCTAAATGCAGTAGGGTAAGAATATTAAGAATATATTTTTTAAATACCTAAGTTTACATTGTTGTTAATGATTGTTTATTTTGTGTACTGGTGTTTTTACATCAATTGATAATTATGACAACCCTTTTAAATAGCAAATATACATCCCAAAGTTACATACTTTGATTTACATAGAAAAATAACCACTGTTTTGGCTTTGCCAGTTATGAAAGTCATGTTTGGGTTTTGGTGGTGGTTTGTTTGTTTTTTTTTAAAGTTGAAGGTTCTTCAATTATACTTCAAGGTTTTGAATTGGACTCTGCACGGGGAGCTCCAGAGCAGGACATGGAGCAGACTGTCTGCTCTAAATTAATATTTTCCACTTCCTAAGGAAGGCTTTATGCTCTAGCCAGAAATCAGAGTCTCCAGAGATGTTTTATGTCTTCCAGTAACTTAATTAAAACCCCTTCTAAGTAAAATAGCCACTAGGCAGGTACCAAATCCAACCATGCACTGTATGGAAAGATTTTATCGGGAATTCCGCTGTGCAAAGGAACTTGGTTTAGCTCAGGTTCACAGACTCGTGTTTTGTGCCAAAGCATAAGGCTTTGGGAGACAGATACTGATGTTTTAAAAGTCATGTTTTAGCCAGAGTGGGGATAGAATCAGAGATATGGACCAGCAGTGGGTGGTAAATGCTTTCCTCAGTGATGATTAAAGGTCACGAGATGCCCTTCCCTTGGCTGCAGTTCTGGGCTTTGGAGTTTTTCCATGTGACCCTGGGGCCTGTTTGTGGCAAATTTACCACTGATTTGGCCACTATGGATCCTTTTGTGAGAAGGCTGTTTTTAGTGCTCTCCCATTTAGTGAAAAGACAAACGTGCAAGAAATTCAATTTTGCTTCTATTTATTCCCGGCGGAGAGTGAAAAAATTCATATATGTGGAAGTCAGAAGGGCAAGATCTACCTGCTGTCACATTTTTTAATAAGTTCTAATGATACATTTCTTACTAGAATGTGACAACAATCCTGTAAAGGTGTTTTAAATTAATTTTCCTTTGCATTATTTTTTATTGTGCATTATACATAACCACAAAAATAGACCCTTGTCCATGCTGATTTTAATATTTGTAAAACTTGAATAGTCTTTTCCATAAATTCATGTATTACTGTGGAAGTTTCATAAGGGATCCCACCAAGAAATTTGGAATACATTTGAAAAGTTTTAGTTGTTATTCTGAAACAAATGACTAAGGACTTTAGTGTAGTAAAACTCTATGTAACTAAAATGTTAAATTGGAAATTACAGATGCACTTGGTAGATCTTTCTTTAGGATAAATCAGAATATAGGATGAACCCCTGGCACTTCTATTTACAGAAGTAATTTGCTAAATAGTACAACCAATTGAGGAAGATATAATCTTAAAATCATATCTGATTTACAATTTTATTTATTTTTATATATATTAACACTACTATTTCTCTGTTGTCTCAGTTTGCTAAAATAATGAATTTGATTCTAGAATACATTAAGAAAGTCACACTCCATGCTGGTGTACCACAATTATACCTGCCAATTTTTTAACTCCCAGCCCTCTGAAATATCAGTTCAGGAACATTATTCCAATTCAGATTTCCACTGGATTCTCTTTATTAGTTTCACGCTCTTAAATAATGCAAGTTCCTCAGAAATATTTGCTGAGTATTTAGTATTTAACATGTTAAAACACTAACTTTGAATGCAGTTCCTTGGTGTGCCCAGCTAAGTTAGCCATGCTTCTAAGTGAACATATGGAAACAAGGGATCCTGACTAAGTCCCTGGAATGTGTTCGTGGCTTTTGTCTGCCCATTTTATTTGAATTCCCATTTTCATGTTCTGTCTTGGGTGAAGATTGTTTACTGTCTGTTGTCTGTTGAAATTTTTCATCATATAGGCAAAATGCAGGATGGGAATATGGAGAACAGCCAGAACAAAGGTAATCTTCTTTCATATTAAGGAGGTTGTGGATTTTATTTTTAGCATGTAGTTCAATTCTGTTCAAAAGTCAAGTGAAACCCTGTGATTTGTGCTTGTGTGTGAAAATGGCCCTTTTGTTCAAAGAGAATGTTAAAACACAAACCCTAAACAACCAAACCCAACAAAAAACCTACCAAAGAGATTGTAACTTTCAGAAGTTTGATGTATCAGACCTTCAGGATAGGACATCAGTATTTTTAAGATGCCATTTGTAGATGTTACTTTCATCTCACGAAGCTCATTTGAATTAATTTTTCCCGTGGAAGTTATGTATGCTACGTATTGTTAGTGATTTTCCACCCCAATTTTTTTATGTCTCATCATCTTCTGTGTTTAATGGTATCATATGGACATATTTTCTTCTGCAGGGACAGGGTAAAGCAATAACAAAAGGAAACCTTAAAGCCCAAGGGTTACTGAACAATGTAAAAGGCAATCATAAGGATAAATAACAGGAAGAATAAGAATCTTAGGAGTTTCTTATTTAATATACAATTTCAGGAAGGCTGAAACAAATATTTTGCTTTCTCTGAAGCAAAGTCATGGTTCCTTTTTTATTCTATGAGACACAGCTCTCATGAGTTCTTTGAGTTATACGAAATTAAGTGATAACTTTCTCTTCTCAGATAATGCTAAAGATTGCAAAGGTGATGGATCAGAAACTAAATAGATAAATTCAGTTGTTAATGGTATAAAACTACCAAATATAATGCTATTAAATGAATAATCACTGGGGTTAGATAGACAAATTAGATTTCCAGGTCAAATAAGCATGGTCTTGTACAATCTCTTCATGAATGTCAAAGCAAAGCTATTTCATTTCATTCTATTTAGTTTATTGTGTTCAGTACAAAACAGACACATACACATATATAAACTGCAATGTCATTGCTTTTAAGAAACATGCTACTTAAATAAAGTTTCCTTGTATTAGCATTCTTTCAAGAAAGGATGGTTCAGCTCTGAAATGCTGTGTGCTTTTTGTGGGACAGTGATGATTCCAGCACCATCAGACCCCCATGGATCAGTCACTTGAGCACGGAATGCCAAGGAAACTTTATAATTCTGGTATTATCTAGAATAGTGGTTTGCAGAGTGTGGTCCCCTGGTCACTGAGGTGCCTGTGCAGCCCAGAGAAGGGAGCACGGATCAGCTGTGGAACCACATCACCTTCAAAATGCTTTCATTGGAAGTGTGATTGTAAGGGTGCATTGCATTCTGTGACACCCCAAAATTTAGAGGAACACAAACCATCTGAGCTCTGCTATTCTAGGAAATCCTGCAGTGCTGACACGCTGGGACTTGCCAAGCCATTTGCAAGGCATGGAGTGATATATATGTGTATAACACAGAGTGTCCAAAACAACGGATCGACCCAATGGGTTTCCCGGTCCTTGACCGGTTGTGCCGTGGATGTGCTTGTACCCCAGGGGTCCCACAGGGCACCTGCCTGACCTGGGACTCAAAGGTCACTCTGGTAATCATTGTCCCAAGCAGCCCCTGCAGCAGATGTTGCTGGTTGAACCCCGTAAGTACGAACGCTGAGCTAAAAAGAACGAGGGGCAGCTCGGGAGTAACAGTTTTGTTCTGCATTATCAGCCAAGCAGCAGGACGGGGCTGCTGCCATGGAGATGCAGCCACTGAAGAGTGCAGAAGGAGGAGAGGGAGATGACAAGGACAAGAAGAAATCCAACATGCACAAGAAAGAAAAATCTGTCCTTCAGGGAAAGCTGACCAAGCTGGCAGTCCAGATAGGCAAAGCAGGTATGGCTGGGGGGCTGACCAAAAAACACTGTGTTAATGGGACCTGAGAGTTGCAAAGCAAATTTTTATTTTTTTTGAAAGGGACAGGCCTTTTTTACTGCAATGGCTCACTCATAAAACTGTTCTATGGTTATTATGTGGTATTGACAAACTTTTCTTCCTCTGAAAATTAGCTTTGAGAGTCAAGAAGCCGGAAGCTTTGGGCAACTTGGATTGTAATGAATATTTGAATCAAAATGAAATGTAGCTTTGCTCATAGTTAATATTCCCAAGCACAGTAATTACATATTTAATTTTGTCTCCCCTTAGAACTTTGAAGTACATGGTTCCAGAATCTCTGTAATCTCAAAATATCACTCACACAGAATTTCCCTCTTACGGATTCTGAAATCATCCTGTTCTCCCTTAATATCCATGTTCCTGCTTTCTACCCAAGCATGACACAAGTGTTGACTCTTTTATCCAGAACCATCTGGTCCCTGCTGTTAGAAGCAGCACTTCTCCAACATGTAGGTAGAAAGTGGAAATCTTCTGTGATGGCACAGAGTTCCTTAGGTTTGTATTTCTAGTGCTATTGAAGAGATTTTGGTCTCTCTCCAGATCCTTGGCTGAGGTCCTACAACAGCTTCCTCACTTTACCTCTGCTCTATTTCCCTTACCCTTCTTCACCAGTCTGATTTCTACCCCACATATTCCTTCCCCTTCCTTTTAAACTTCATTTTGGTCAGTTGATCACATAACCCCAAGATGCCAAATTCTCTTTTCCTGCACAGTGTGTGACTCAAATTCTGTGGTTATCATCTCTGCTATGCAATCAATGCTGTGCCTGGTTTCATATTGCTCTCTCCTTTGTTTCCCATGATTATTAACTTCTTAGGTTAAGTACCTTTCTACACTGCCTTTGATTCTCACTCTCTCTGATATTTCAGCAGGCCCGTGAATATCACAGTTAAAGTGATTGTGTAGGGATTTCTAACCATAATGTGGCGACTAATGTGAATTAAATTAATTAATTATTGTCTCCTTTGGTTTTTCTTTGTCATTGGGCAATCTATGGGGATGTCGTGTGTTGTCATGAGTATAATATTTTAATGGATTTTCCTGTGTCCTCTGGCATATAATGCTCTCCCTGACTCATCTGTTTCCTGTCACCCTTAGCATCCTTCATCTTACCAATTTTTTTAAAGTGCAGTCAAGACATGAAATTCACAGTATTCTCCTTTTTACTGCGTGATCCCATTAGGGAAAAATTAATTTATTCTGAAATGCAGGCTTAACTGCTTCACAGAAACCTGTCAGAGAGCAGTAATCACAGCAAGGCAAAGCTGAGGCTCTGCTGGAGTTTTTATTTGTATACTGCACTCCAGGAACGAAATTGTGGAGGAGCAGTGTTATCCTAGCAGTCTGTGCCACTGGGAGAGCATATTAAGTGCTTGGGATCTTTTGTGAATTCTGTGAAATTTTTGGTAATGTCTCTGCTTCCTTTGAACCTCTCCTCATAAAAGTACACACTTTATGGATGTCCCTTGGAAAAGGGAAACCTTGGAAACACCTGTATTTATCACATTTTCAAGAAACTTAGTTGAAAACTGTTCTGTGGATAATTCTCTGTTACTGCTCCCTTATGTTCACCCAGATACATCCCTAGGGCTTTTCTAAAGTGTTTTATGCAACAACATAAACTACAGGAGACTATTTTTCTCAGGTCTCCTAAGACACATTTATTAAAGAGAAAAGTGAGTGTTTGAATATGGATAGACTAGTAATGTGTAAAAGGTGGAGGTTAAAAGGACAGATAAATATTTTACCAGGCAAAATAATGTACTAAATTGAAAAAAACTTAAATAAGTGACAGAGGAACTCCTGGAGAACTGGACTGGCTGGGAAGTTTTCAAGGCAGCAGTAAGACAGTGTTTAAAAATGAATGCAGTGTGATTCAGCTGTTCTGCAGCATTCAGTGTTTCTTTATGCACTGGACTGTAATGCTGTTGTAATTATATTATAACAATGTTTCTTCCTGTAGACTTGATCATTATCATCATTATTAATATTGGTGAGAAATGTCACTTAGAATAAGAAAATAATTTCACATCAAATTCCAATGCAGATTTCTGATTTCTGATGTTTTTAATTGTGTTCTGTGTTACAGTAATGGATCATTTCTCTTTCCAGGTTTGGTGATGTCTGCTATCACTGTCATAATTTTGGTACTATATTTTGCCATTGACACGTTTGTGGTCAACAAGAAGCAGTGGTTGCCTGAGTGCACTCCTGTCTACGTCCAGTATTTTGTTAAATTCTTCATTATTGGTGTTACTGTGCTCGTGGTTGCTGTTCCTGAGGGACTTCCACTTGCTGTCACTATTTCTCTGGCTTATTCTGTAAAGGTAAGAGGCATTAAAAATAATCATGGGAGAAAAATGCTGTTTGCTCGAGTTCACCACTGAGTTGGCCCTCAGGTTTTATCAGGTGTGAAGAAACTTGGCCTGCAAATTATGTGCTCAAAATGTTGTTTAGAGTGAAATTGTTTTAAAGTAAACTCATATTGAAAGAATCTAACAAAAATGTGAATACATATGTTTTCTAATAGATCTCTTTAAAACCACACAGTGCAGGATAATCAGGTAGTAGAAATACCTATTTGACTTGCAAAGAGCAAGGAATTTATTGAGCAGAATTTACTCTGAGAACAGTCCAGTCTTTGGACAGGGAATAATTTTGTATTCAAATTTTCTCGTGCAATAGGACAAAGTTTTGACAAGGATTTGAAGCCTTCAGGAACACTTTACAAAGAAATTAGAGTTTCACTGAAGCTTTCATGTACTTTTCTGAAGTGCAGTTGCAGTTCTTTGAAGTCAATGTAAATGATTCTGTTAGGAAGCTAAAGAGGATTAAAATCCTGGACTTGTGGATTACTTTAGCAATTTAGTCAGATGGGACTTATTTAAACATTCTGGCAATCTTAGATGAAGATGACGTAAAGTTTATTCCCATTTAGCATGTAAACAAATTCTGAACTTTAAGAAGGAATATCTTGATTTCTATGTAGCCAAATATCATAATTATTAGGGGGGAAAAAAACCATGTCTCGAGGATGACAGTTTGCTAATAAAGACTGTTGCTGCTTTTAAAATATTTTCTCATTCTTCTTATGTCCTTCATCTGACACCCCTTTCCCTTTTCCCCCTTTTTCCCCTTTTTTCTCTTTTTCCCCTTTTCCCCCCTTTTTCCCCTTTTCTCCCCTTTTTCCCCTTTTCCCCCCTTTTTCCCCTTTCCCCTTTTTCCTTTCCCTTTCCCCTTCTTCTGGATGTATAGTCCATCCATGTGCTGCAAGATAATATCCTGGCATTCCAAGCATTACTAAGAAAAAGTTGAATATTTGCCATAATGATGATGTTTGAAAAATGCCTTTATTTTTATTTTCTTTAACTAATCTTTGCTGTTGGAGCTATTTCTTGAAATGTAGAATATTGCAAACAATTATGGAACCATTTTAGCTTATTCAAGGCAAAATTATCTCAAGGATAATCACAGCTTGGTTGTCTGTAAGGGTCTGGGATATTGGCCTGGATCAAAGTTCTAATTTAGGGAGCTTTATGTTTTCACAAGCAAGACTAAACCCATTCTCCTGCGCTTTTTATAACCCATGTTAAAAACCTGTCAAAGCAAAATCTTGAAGGTTTTGTTTTTTTTTCCTTAGAAAATGATGAGGGACAACAACCTGGTCAGGCACTTGGATGCCTGTGAAACGATGGGAAATGCCACAGCCATCTGCTCCGACAAAACCGGCACGCTGACGACCAACCGCATGACGGTTGTCCAAGCCTACGTTGGTGATGTCCACTACAAGGAGATCCCTGACCCAGATTCCATACCTGCCAAAACCATGGAACTGCTGGTTAATGCAATTGCTATCAACAGTGCTTATACTACGAAAATTCTGGTGAGTAGGCTTTTTTTTTTTTTTTAATCAATAAAATAAAACGCAGCAGAAGGAGGTGCAGGGTTTTTTTACCAAGCCGTGCTAGTTCCTGTTGTTGATTATGAAGTGTTAAATACTGGTGCTGCAAAACCCATATGTTTTATGGTTTGGGGTTTTTTTATGGATAGGGATTTACTTATAAGTACAAGCCCATGCAACATTTAAAAATCTCCTGCTGTCGTTAGATTGGAATGGCTCGGCTTTGGTGCAGATAAATTTGTTCACACAACTGGTTCTTACTGAGATTTCACCTGTGCAAAATGATTTCTGTGTGTCTGAGAACTTTCAATTGATTCTCAAATATGACAAATTGGATTGGTTAAATCAGTGAGGTTAATGAACTTCGTTCCTTCTGGTTTCAAGTGAGTCACATCCAGAAGTATTTAATTCAGTCTGTAAAGGAGGCCAGAATGGAAATATCCATTTTGCTTGTGGCATTAGGTTCTTCTGCACAGAGCTAATTAAGAGGCTGAAAAATTTTGCAATTCCAATAGATTTGTTCTTTGAAAGGTCAAGCTGGATTTTAATGTTGCTGAACAAGTAGACTTTTTTTTTAATTTATGAATATATGTATTGTCCTTTTTATTGTTCTGTGCTGAGCTGCATAATATAGTCTTGCATACACTTCATGTTTGTTTTAAAAGTAGTCTTTTAAAATACTGTCACAGAAAACAAATAGTGCTGAGTGCTGGAGCACACATTGCCTTTAAATCTTGCTATGTAAATATCTGGATATTAATAATAATCCACACTGGGAAGAAAAATGTTTAGAGAAATCTCACACAGACGTGCAAAGTGTGTTTGTAGCAAAGGTATTTCTGAAATGAATGCTCTTGAGGATTGTTTGGCCAGGATAAGTGTACAGTACACAGGCTGGGATTAACACAAGGTAACAGAGATGAATTTGGGATGAAGGATAACAGGTACCTATCTAAATTTGTGTTAGGATAACTGCTACAGTGGTGACACCAGTCACACACCAGTTCACCTTCTCTGAATCCTGGAACAGATGTAGGTTTCTGAGTGAGGAGGCATCAGGCTTTCCAGTCATGCCTCTGTAACCTTAAGTTTAATATTCTGTCATTTTTCTTGTGGTAATAATTTCATTTAACTGAAAAATTTCTGGTCAATAGTAGTTCTAAAATGGTCTTAATGTAATTTTGAATTATTTTTTTTTTCACTCTGACTTGTCTTCATTGCTTCTTTTTGAAATCAGCTCTGTGTGCATATTAAAAAGAGTCAATATTTCACCATCTCAGTACTTTTTAAAATATGCACAGAGACTGATCTGTGAAACTGATAAATGGGTGAAACCCTCTGAAAATCACATTTTTTTCTGGATGCAGATCAGATCTTCAGCAGCTAACTGCTTGAGGTTAGCTGTGTAAAATTAATGGTGATTTTTAGCTATTACACAGCACCATAAGATAAAGCCTTGTGGTATGTCCCCCCCCAGAACCACAGCTCCAGTGACAGAGGAGTTCATTTTATTCCTTGTCTAGAGCAAACTCAAGTTGAACTTTAGGATACAAAGTATTGTTCCATAGCCCATTTTAAATCATAAATAAATGCAGTAAAAATCACCTGGGGGAGTTGTTTCCAGGATGAAGTCCACAGAATTATTTCTCTAGCTGCTAATACCAAATACATCCCTGTGTGCTCATTCTTAGAGCATGTTTAATCAAATTGTGAATATCAGCTCCAACCCAAAGGGCATGTAAGAGTTGTGTCGCTCAGACTGAGTTTTGCATATTCTATTTTTGGCTATCTGGTTATGCCTACGCTGTAAATTGTGCTTTGTGTGAACTTCTGTTCAGAGGGATCACATATGGGGCCATAAAATTAGCCAAGATGCTCTGCTGAATGAGAAATATTCCCTCTTGCATTGTCTTTTGATTAAGGGGCAATTGAACCATTGATAAAAGCATAAAAAGAAAATAATATCAGTGCTCGGGATAAAAGATTCGAATTTCCCTGAGAAATTAAACACAAATTATTCCAACTGAACAATAGCATCATTAAATATAGCTCTTTTTAATGCATTCCAAGATTAAGTTGCTGAGTGAGCTGATTTTGCATTCCATTAACTTCAGAGCAACTTTAATGCCGCTTTAATGCTGTTTTAATGCTGTTTATGTGAAGCTGTTCTACAAAAACCTTTTCAGCATTCATGTTTTGGATAGCTGTCCCACATGAAATAAAATTAGACTTCATATATTTTTGCATGTGAGCTATGATGAGGGCTGTGAAGCGTCTCTTACTCTGGGAGCAAAAATTTGCATTCTGGGAATACTTTGATTGCACTCAGAGCAGAAGCACATTGATCTTGGATATCATAGAGCAGTAATGAAATAGGGACTCCAAACACCAAAACTATTGATTTGAACTTTTCTGTGGAGCTCTTCCTTGCATAATTTCAGTTTTAATTAGGAAGGTATTTCTTCTTTTAATTTCCTGGAAGCTGTCCTAGGGCATTGGGTGGGTATAATGTGTTCTTATTAAGAAGACATCACAATTAGTATTTCGCTGAGTGATCTTCAGCACCCGTGAAAAAGTCCCAGCTGAGCCTGTTATTATTAGGAACTAACACAGGCATTTCATTTGGTACTTGATGGGTGCACAGGGAGACTAAAAGCTACTTATTCCTGTATTAGGTGGATCTCTGGATCTGCAGCAGGACTGGTTTTTTTCAGTGGATCTGGAGCACCATTTACTGCACTTGCACAGGGTGGTGGCAAACCTTTACCTGAGGGTCTCCAAGGGAGAGATGTCACAGGAAAGGGCCAAACATTCCCTCCCTTCCACAGCTGCTGCCACCTTAGGGAATGAAGCTAACATATGTTAGTCTATAGGTTAGTAAATCTTAGTCAAGTTATGAATGTGACCCGGGAAAACTCCTGGAACAAAAAGGCCTCTGCTGGATAAAACCAGACAGGGAGAATGAGGAAAAATAAAATAAAATAAATTGTAGGCAACTTTACTGCGGCCAGAACAGTGTTTTATATGCAGAACAACACCTCCATACAACACTAGAACATCCATCTAAAAGATAGTGAAGTTACCAAGGTTGCTGCAAGCAAATTCCAACCATGTTCCTACCACGTGGAACAGGGATGATGGATCTGCAGCACAGCCACAGCCACTGGGATTTACTGGGAGAAAGGAAGGTGTCAATTCACCACCTTCTTTTGGGTAATGGCTGGTGCCTGAATATATAGTGAATAATCTTACTAAAATAAGTGAAAAAAAAAATTCTAACTGCTTTGTACAGAAAGCAGTTCAAGGGATTTTGGCACAGAATTTTATTTTTATAATAATATTATTATTATATTAATATTATTATTATTATATGTCGTTCTTTTGACTGATTGTCTGATGCAGAATGCTGGGGTGAACACACTGCCTGTTACTTTGAGAAAAGAGATGAAGGGAGGCTGGCAGAGCAGGCTGTGAACCCAGAATATGTGGAAACTCCCAAGAAAAAAATTACAAAAATTCTGCAAAAGTAAAATGTTGAAAGTAATGAAAAATAAGATTTAACACAACAGCTGCTTTGCAGGAGTAGATTCAAATCTCTTGTTGGTGTTGAGAACACGGATGGAGTAGCAGGTGAAGGGCTCCTTTCATTTGGGAGGAATATTTGCATCCAAAAGAAGTACAACTATCGGGATTGTTGAGAGACACAATGTTCCTGTAAGGAACAACCTTTCCACAGATATTTCAAGTGCAAAATATACTTCTTTCTTAGAGATTTTTTTTTTTTTAAATCAAAGTCTGAATTTTATTTATCAAATACTTGGATTAATCTTGACATTTTTTATAATTTGTTTAATCAGACGAAAAAATTGTCTCAAGAATAATATATATATATACAGATATATTATTTAAGCAAGAGAAACTTACTGTTTTACCTTTCACCTTTCATAATTTCAACACTATCAATACAGTAAGACCTTCTTAAAGACAACTTTGGAGTTGTTTTGGGGGGGGATATGGATATTTGGAAGTTTCCTACCAAATAATTTTAAAACTTGAGTAGTAGTAGGTATGTTTATGGATATTCTGAACAGTTCCCCCCATTAATGTATAAAGTTATTACTCATGGAAAGGAGGATTGAAATGCCATCTTTTGAACAGTAGCTGCTCCCTAATTCTTGTCTGACAGAGCACAGACCTTTCCTTTGTTCTGTCTATATACATTTATTTGTTTGTCTCTGTTTGCATATGAAGCCTTGTTTTCCAAATAGAAAGGAAGGAGACCACAACTGTTTAGGAAAGATTGTTTATTTCATTTTAACAGAGCTGAAAACCCAATAGACCAGATGATGCCACACATACCAACAGAAAATAGAGTATTTATAAGTCATATACAGAAGCAGAGCCTGTGCTTTATTGTAGCTTTACCTGCCAAAGACATCCCTGTTAAATGAAACTGCTATTGCATATCCCTAGAATTCTCCTTATTCAAAAGAGAAGCATGAGAAAACAGCTTTTGACTTCCAAACTACACTTTTAGTTACTTTGGCATATGAAACTGGGAAGATAATTTTACTCTCAGGTATGGTTTTCTTAAAAGCAACTCGCAAGCTCTTTGTTTCTTGTGTTAAAATACCCATAACTTGACCATTTATTTTTGCTGCACTTGAAGGTTCAGGTAGTCTCTTATTTTATCCAGCTTAGTTCACATTGTTAACAGTGTTTGGAGTAAAAACAGATTCTTAGAAAAACCCATCACCAAAAACACACAAAATGTGAGGACAGAAACGGGGATAGAAAAATTAATAAGTATAGATTGAGGAAAGCTTTAATTTATGATAAAATTAAATGACAACTGAGTCAATGGCCTGGCCTAAATCCTGTTTTATTCCTCCTGCAGTTCCCTACCATTAACATCAAGGCACAAACACAAGTGGCAGTCCCAGTTGCTGCCTTAAAGTCTGTGAAGATCAGTCATTTATCAG